TATTACCCTGTAAGAGATATGGTGTGAAGATATATAAATGGTTTACTTAGTTATGTGTCTAAAAGGCATGTATAAAATTAATCTACAAGGTAGTTTTTAAAGAGAACTGAACACTGTTTCATAATCCCTCGATAATTGTCAGTTAGATCCATGAGAAGCGGTAGGTTGATTATTAATCGAAGCAGTCTTTTTTGAGAAAGTACAGTCCACAGGGTAGTTCGGTAGCGTAGTGAATAAGCGCCGTGGTCAGCGGTCTTATTGTTAAGCAACTTTTACAAGATTCGCTCACAGGATGGGTAACCAAAAAATTATCATCTTAATCTACTCCATATTATGGAAAGCACGTTAAGCCACTGGTTCCGGCTGCATTTGCAATCGTTAATACCCTCCAATCCGCATCGGGTCAGCGTAGAAGGCCAAGACCCTTCCTCCTTAACCATCCTTAAGGAAGGCCTGAGTCTCTACCGTGGGGACGCAAAAGGGCTGATGATGAAAATATCAATTAACAGCAATATAGTAGTACCCGACCTAAAGCGCTTGTATGATTCAAAACAATAGAGATCCAGTGAATATTATTGCTACATACTTTTATGAATCGTTGAAGGTTACCAGACATTACACAACGACATACATTTAGATTTATTACTAAGATTTAGTAAAGTATACACTTTTATTTATAACATACACGATTACTTATTCAACAAATAAAAAGAAAATAAATACTAGACTTGTAACGCGTGGCGAGCAAAATGAATGGAAACTAGCACCTACTCGATCGTGGCGACACGTGGTGCGACGCGGGTACAAGATAGAACTGACTCTTAAGGGTTTAGATAAATCCGTCAACAAGATAAGTGAACGACATAATGAGATGTTGAGATCACATTAGTCCGATAATGAGTAAACAGAACATATATTAATTATCATTGAAGGCTTGTGGTTAGAGGGTTATTTTATGTCCGAAATAGGATTAGTGAGAGACTGTCATAGAGATAATTATTTTTGTGTCTGTTCATGTACAAAAGTAATTATAGTAAACTAGCTTTCCGCCCTCGTGGTCCCTAGGAAAATAATTACTTGGATATCGATTCTTATCATGATATAATTACAATGACAAATTGAATAATAATAATAATGGTTACCGTGACTTTTAATTCCGTATACAAATTTTGCACTCCAATTTTCATCCCTTTATTTGCTGTTTTTCGGAATAGAATGATACCCTTTGTTCACCGCATATAATGTAGGTTCCCGTAGATGAAAGAATTTTTTAAATCGGTCCAGTATATTTCGGAGTCGTTGAAAACAAACAAAAACAAACTCAAACCTTTCCTCTTTATAATATTAGTATACATAAAGTTAGTCATACATGAAATTCTAATCTCATATTTTGGTGATTAAATGCTGTAATAACGTGATAAAATCCAAATAGGATTAATTATGGTACAAAGTCTAATGTCACATCCGCCAATTCAGTTACTGTTAATATTTTTTAGTAATGTTCAGAGGTAAATATTTTTGGTCCTGTATGTTTTATCAGTGTCAAAGACTTAAGAGATTGATTTTTTTAGAGGAAAATTTGGTTGTTTTTGTTTCGTCAATGATTAAAATAACAAATAGATGTTTTATTCGGAGAAATTTTCAAAAAGGATGGAGTATTATTATTTTTAGTAAATTACTAGTAAATCGTTGAGATTATTCTAAAATATTTCCTTATAAAGTAAAAGTGTAATGAACAACAATAAACGTTTAAGAGTAAAAAATCTGAATTTCTAATAAGGTTTTTTTAAATTCACGTTTTGATTGAGACTAAATCCATAGAAATAGGATGCATGCCTATAGCTTAATTGGACGTTTTTTGAGGCTTGACAATGCCAACGGTTGTATTTTGATTGATAGTAATATTTTTTGCTTAGAGTTTCGAAATAAGGTCACGATTTCAAAACTTTTAAATTTAATACACGATTAGCCCCCATTATCAGTTGAAGGGCAACGTCCGCTTTGATAGCAACGATTACAATATACGAGTGTTCATTACTGGTTACGACGTACTTGAAAAAAAATTATGACATATAATTAAATAGATGAAGGTAGAGAAAATACACAAAGGAAACTACAACTCTTTATAATTTTTGTAGTATTTTTGATAATTAATTAAAATTTTGGAGTGAATTCGAAAGTAAATGACCATCAAATAAAGTTAAATCGTAGCCTCAATGTATACACATAACTACAAATAATATGGAGACACGGAAGTGTCGCCACCAAGTCGAGCAAAAGAGCACAAGGTAACTTATTCAAAAATCCTTTCTAGTTTAAACAGGATACTTTTTAAACTACGCTTTTATTTGTTGTTTTAATGATTCCAAAGAAATAATTTATGCATTTACAATGTCGTATTGACATTTGGGATCAGAAAAATTGTTGCCATTATAATTAACTATGACATAGAAGTTTTTAAGATTCCGCATATAAGGACGACAAGAAATTTTCTACATAATTTTTTGATGCTGAATTCTTTCGACATTTTCGTTTCTCTTTACGATCACAGACGATGTATCCCCACAAGGTATGTGTTTGGCATTCACAAGGTATGTAGATAAAATGGCAACTGTACGATGAGCTATCATTCGAAACATGTTCGTAGTAAAATGGAAAGGAGTGAGAAAAATCTAAAATATTGTATAGAAAATGTTTATTTTTTCTTCTTTCTAGATTCATTATTCAGTGTGAACAAAGAATACGACTGAAATCACTAGATGAAGACACTTATAAACATTAATCTTTGAAGAAATTATAAAAAATATATCTACTATAAAATAAATCTTTGAATCATTTCTAAGATTCTGTACCCAAGGGGTACATAGGGGACCCTATTATTCTGCCTTCTGTCTGCCAAAATGCTGTATCTAAATCAGCAATCAGATTTGTTTCCGTTGCAGCTAAATCAGCAAATATTAAAAACCATAATGACTGGTCGCTGACGGCTTCATAGGATTTTTTTGCGTGTTGACTTATGGTCGAACTTTAGACTGCACTACTTATCTTTAACAAGTGTCATTCATAAATGAGGTTGTTTCGATATAAAAATGCTTATACGCATATAACATGATGGCATTCACACGATAAAAATATAGACTGTTTTTTTCTAAAACACTAGAAAGTTTACTGATTTTTGTTAAATATCGACTGACATAACATTTTAAGATAAAAAAGAAAAATTAAATATATTCTTAACATCCAACAAAGTAGAGTTATATAAAATTTGTTGTAACAGCTCTATCAGCGCGCGCGGTATTGCTAAATTATGAATGATTCGTGCATTTTGATATTAGGTAAAATGGCCTCGAATAAGTTGGTGTAAAATTATTATTAAATGGAATAACTTTCAAATCGTGTACGTTTATATGTAAATGCAATTTTTTTATTTATGAAATCATCATCAATCAAATTTTATGAAATCACTAGATGAAGACACTTATAAACATTAATCTTTGAAGAAATTATAAAAAATATATCTACTATAAAATAAATCTTTGAATCATTTCTAAGATTCTGTACCCAAGGGGTACATAGGGGACCCTATTATTCTGCCTTCTGTCTGCCAAAATGCTGTATCTAAATCAGCAATCAGATTTGTTTCCGTTGCAGCTAAATCAGCAAATATTAAAAACCATAATGACTGGTCGCTGACGGCTTCATAGGATTTTTTTGCGTGTTGACTTATGGTCGAACTTTAGACTGCACTACTTATCTTTAACAAGTGTCATTCATAAATGAGGTTGTTTCGATATAAAAATGCTTATACGCATATAACATGATGGCATTCACACGATAAAAATATAGACTGTTTTTTTCTAAAACACTAGAAAGTTTACTGATTTTTGTTAAATATCGACTGACATAACATTTTAAGATAAAAAAGAAAAATTAAATATATTCTTAACATCCAACAAAGTAGAGTTATATAAAATTTGTTGTAACAGCTCTATCAGCGCGCGCGGTATTGCTAAATTATGAATGATTCGTTCATTTTGATATTAGGTAAAATGGCCTCGAATAAGTTGGTGTAAAATTATTATTAAATGGAATAACTTTCAAATCGTGTACGTTTATATGTAAATGCAATTTTTTTATTTAAAAAAATACATAATGTATAAGGAAAATTGGCCAGTTGTATCTGATAGAAAATTCAAAAATCTCGTTTGTTGTATGCTCTTTGAATATTAATTTTATTCTGTTTTTATAGCGGCAATAGAAATACATCTCTTTCAACTAACTTAAATCAGAAAATTTCAACAATCTATATATCACGATTTATAAGATACAGCCTGATGACAGACATATGGACAGCGAATCCTTATTAATAATGTCCCGTTTCTATCCTTTAAGTATCATACTCTAAAAGGAATACTTAATAAAATATATACATATATTGTTATGATTTAAGAAATATAATAGGTAAACTTCATTAAGTGTTTAATAATAATAACACGTTATTGTCAACACATTCTCTTCATCATTCATTCATTTATCTTCACAGATTTTACAAACTAAACAATACATCAAAGTGTAACAAATGGCGGTCTTATCGCTGAAAGCGATTTCTGCCAGACAACCATTGGCTGGATAGGAATGTTAATTATAACGAAACGGGTGTGTAAACTTATTCATTGTGTTTATGACATTTTAAAAATAAAACAGATATTAAAGACGATTGTAAGAAAATTCTGCAGCTCATTCGTTATTATAACACTAATGGCAAATAAAAAAGCAGATATTATAGACCGTTGAAAAAAACTGCCTATATACTATATAGTTATTAAAAAAAACTAGAAGCAAACAATTTTGTGTTGTGTATAATAAGAGCCATCAAATTGCACAGACTACGTAATTGGCCATTGTGTCATTCCCACAGCATAAATACTATTGTTATCGACGTTGAGTTTGATTTTTTATAAACATTACTTAATAGACGAATATAGTTATAAAATACTTACGGTGTAAGCCTGCGATATTAATACTGCTACAAACGTTAGCCTCATTAGATGTCCCATTTTATCTGCAAAAAAATGTGATTTTAAATATATAATTAGGTACTTAAAATGTTACTATATTTGACCTTGCCTTATCACCAACCGTTTTCCTGATATTTTAGGCTAATGCGTGTAACATTTATATAGAAAAAAATAAGAGAAAAAACTATTTTTTGTATTTCTTTCTCTTAAAATATTTCGTAAAATATTTAAATACATAATAGAAATGTTGTGCATTTTTAATTTTTTTTATTTGCTTATTTTCCTTTTTAATTGTCACTTCTCGGACATGATACACTTCAAAACGTTGTTTATTAGATTACACTTTTCAGTTATTGTTTGGAGTTCTCAGATTTATATTATATTAAATCACATTTTGTTTTTTTTTTAGTTTTTCGAATGAAAGGAAAAGTTTCTTGTTTGGCTTTACTTACGGTTTCTTTTATATTATATGAGAAAATAGTAACATATAACACAAAAGATATCACCTATAATTTGTTACTGCACTGACACGGCAAAGATTTGAACTTATAATACCTTTGTATAGGTAGTAAAGAAAACACTCAACTTTATACTTTGCGATAATTACTTGTAATTGGTTCACGTTAACTATGCTATATTAAAGTGATCCTATGAATATTTAACGAAATTAAAGTTTTCTATTAATTAATACAGTTAATGCTATTTTAATTTGATTAATTTGGTAATGGTATCATGACTCATAAGCCACTGTCATTTAAACTAGTTTTTAATTTCTGTTTTTGTTTCCATGAAACAATTAACATAATAGCTATTTGAATATTTGTATCGGAAATACCATGTATTAGGTACAGGCATTCACGTCATGCTTCATTCATAGCATAGATGAAATAATTGTGACGTGAATATTAAATTGGTGATAATTTGACCTCAATAAAAATGCTTTGAGGAAAATGTTATTTTATATATAAACTCTTTAATGATTGCCGAACTATTCTCAATGAGACAAAAACTTAAGGAAGCGGAAAAGAAAACTAATCAATGTGAAGTTGATAACAAACTTATCATATCTATAAGAAAAATGAAAAAGAAAAAAAAATGAAATTCTTACTCTTACGGGAAGCTACATCATTCAGAGGCTACTAACGGTCGGTTTCTGAATTGAGAAAAGTAGAAAATCTCAACTGAAACTGAGAACTGAGAACAATTCTCAATAACTTATTATTTTTTTATTTTCACAAGGCAAAAAGTCCTTTTTTATCGAACCGCTATCAACCGATTATTAGCAAAAATTAAAATCAGAAATAAAAACCTCTTTAAGTGACGTTTGAAATGGCTTACGTACGGTTTGATACGCGCATAACTTTAAATTCTCAATTAAGAAACCGGGTGATAGACTATAGTTCACGCGCATAACATCGCGGGAGAACGGCTAGTTAAAAATATTTTTGTATCTTATTTGCACAATACACAATCGGCTATCTGTATTTTTGATACGCTTTGTTCATTTTCTATTCAGCGTTACGCACTTCATTGAAATTTTTAGAAATCGTTATTGTAAATATTGTTACGTATCGTCGTATTTTGTCTGCATTTTGAAACAATGCCGCTATATTTGACCGACAATGGACGTTACAAACGCTTCCGCTCATTGAAGCAATATCCTAATGGCTTTTAATATTCTATAATGTAAAATAGAAGGTGTGTACTTTAGCAATTTCGTAAAAACGATAGATTATAATAATAGATGTTCAGTCAGCATTGCGTCTATACAAAAAGATTGTAAACCTTCAGACATTGATGTTAGTGTAGAAAATCAAGCGTGAGTTTTTATAACCTGATGTCGTGCTATGTATTGAAAGATTTTCGTAAAAAACATTTCTTTCGCTTATGTAAACTGGGTAAAAGTCGATTAGAAATATGCTCATTAAGAAACTGTCTCGACTGATTAATTGCAAAAGCACTTATTTCGCTAGCTAACGGTTACGGGTTCGAGTCCAGAATTGTATTCTATATCATTCTTGGAAGCATTTTAATTAAATATATTTATTATTATAATGGGATTACTGTGTCATTGGCAGCATCGCTCGGTTTGTCTGTCTTCATATATAGATTTATAGAATGAATTTATCGCATTTTATGTTTATAATACAAAATATTGTGTTCATTTTAATAGAAACTAATTAAATATTCATTTAATGAATTCTTTGTAAATTCCAGAAATTAGTTAACAATTAACGTTTCCGGGAATATTCGGTCTAAAGATCCGTTTCGATATAATAAATTACGTCAGTGTTTCTGATGGCTGGTGTCATAATAACTCTATACTACTCGCACTTTCACTAAACGCTTACGTCATTTGATATTTCTTATACAATTTCATATAATTTGTTTTATAAATCAGAGAAACCTAAATAAATTTTATAAATCAGAGAAGTGGGTTAACTAATTGAACTTCATATTAATTTGAATTTAAAGTCACATTGTACATGAAAAAGATTTCTTTTTATCATATATGATTAACTTTGCATTGTCAGTGCTATATTTACATTTAGTTTAAAGAAAATGCCTCAGTTTCAGGTGCCCGAGATGAGGTTCGTACTAGGTACCTTAAGCAATCCGGGCGGCTACTCTAACCATTGTGCTTTCTGAGACTGACGAATTTCTTAAACACTTATTACAAAAAGTGAGCGTCTTCTCAGATAATTCATCTAAACAGCAGAAAGAAATATATTTACAAACATTTTTATACTATGTAATCTTTGCATATAAAATACTATAATTATGGACGGCTAGATACTCGGTACTATTATTTATTAAGACGAGCTTCCAACCTCCAAATTGATCCTGACTTAATTTGTATTCGTATAGAAATTGAACTTCATGTCGATACATAATATCACAATTTGTTTATTTGTTTCATATCATATAATATTGTGATAAACTGGCAAACTATCACCTTAACCTAAAAAAGGTATTCGTCTATTTATTGTCACTAAATAAAGAAAAAATAAATTAACACAATTTCCATAATAAAATGCATTTTGGTCATAGAAACATAGATTTAGGCAGATAAGATGTGTTTCATTTTCAAGTACAATACGAAATACTAATAAAAAAAATATGACAAAATAAAAAGAAAAAAGGCATTCATCACACTTATTCAGTTAAGTAAATAACATTAACTGTCTCGTAGTTTATTCAGTTTTTTAAAATAATAATCCTGATTTCAAATTATTTAACGAAAGCATCCTAGTGCACGAGTATAATTTTTATTCATAATATGCAAAAAAAGTTTTATCAAGTCCCCTATTGTAGTGAATCACGTTGAGAACTGTGACTAGAATGTAAGATTAATTTACGCGTCTAAAGACAATGGGCCCCTTTAACTCTATTGTCATGGTATATTCTGAATGAATTCTTCGTTTGGCATTCCTGTGGACCTATATGAACATTTCCATGAAGTTACCTTAATATTACCTAAATATAAAAATATACTGAAGAGAGATCACTCGTGAATCCAATAATAAACTTTGTATTTACTTTTAAACTAGACTCGACCACGACGAACTCGAGAGCGTTTAGTCTACACCCAAATGTAGCTTGTCCCGAGTGCGCTCAATCGATATCTCACTCTCTACCCGAAAGTGACATTCGGGAGTAGACAAAGCGTTTCTCGAGTTTCTCATAGACGTACTGGTGACAAAAAAATATTTTACTGTAGATATAAATAGGTATATTAAATATCCAAAAATAGGACTTCGCACTTTATTTGATAATTCTGATGCAAAAATATTATTGTCATCGTGTGACTTGCATATTTAAGCAATTTACTAAAACACGCAAGTCACTCGACGGTGGATTATAAATTATATATTAGTCTGTAAAATTTAATGATTATTGAATTTAACATAAAAAAGGTAAAGCACTAAATATATCAAATTGTATCTCTATAATAAAAACCTAGAGTCCGTCTTTAGTACAGGTATATAAAGCAAATTCAGGCTTAAATCAGGTTATATAAAAGTATTACTTGACGATACAAGAAAGATGAACGAATATTTTTAATCATAATTGAATAAATAACTTCCTTAACACATTTTATGAGTTGCTTGATAGCGCAGTATATAAGCGACACGACCCGCGATCGTTGTTCCGAAGGAACTCTCGCGAGGATCGGTCACGGGATGGATGGCAAAAAAAATTGTATGTTATACTACTTTGTACTTTGGAAGGCACGTTAAGCCGTTGGTCCCGGCTGATTTGAAGTCAGTAAAAGCCATATTGGACCAGCGTGGAGGGTTATGACCCATCCTCCTTAACCATTTGTACAGACGGCCTGACTTCCTGCAATGTGGACGTTAAAGATACTAGAACATTATTTATCACAATTAGCTAAGTTGTAGTATCTTTTATCACTAAGAACGAAATGAATTCGTATAAAGTCGTACAAGGGTAAGAAGTATATTGCTAATATAAGTGTCCTAGTAGTCCTAAGTGGAGCGATACAAAACAGTGTATTACTAAAAAGCGATAAGAAGGACATTTTCACATATATTGTCACGTTTTTGTCGCTAATATACATCTATATTCAGTGTGGTTTTGTTAGCTGGGAATATGAATCTAATTTATAAGATTTGAAGTGATTTCTGCAATTATTTTCGAAAAAAAAATATTTGACTAATACTGTAAAACGGTTTTCCACTTCAAATATTGGGTTTCATTGCTTCTCGAAAATCTTAAAACAATCTTTTATTGAATCCATTTGATCTAAATAAAAACAAAACTTGATGGTTACGTTAATTTGTAATGTTTTGTTTTAATTGATTGTAGATTCGATTGTATCGAATCGAAAAAAATCTATAGATCACTTTAAATATGTAAGTTCATATAAAAGTCTCAGTAAATTATTAGAATTTTCTTTATACAGGTATAAATAGCTCATTATGAATCAATGGTAAATCTAAATAATTAAATACTGGTAATTTCCGTAATGCGTATAATGCAATTATCTGTTCGTCTTTACTCTTTTAACGCAATTA